TACTCTGCTCATTGTGTTAAGTGTACTCTTTAGTCCCCACAACCTATTTGCCCCATCCCTCCAACCACCTCCCCTCTGGTAATCATAAGTTTGTTTTTTATAGTTAAGAGTCTGGTTTTTTGTTTGTCTCTTTTCTCTTAATTTGTTTTGTTTCTTAAATATTGCATGTGAGTGAATCATTAGTGACCTTTTATTTTATTTTTAAGGATTTTATTTATTTATTCATGAGAGACAGAGAGAAAGAGAGAGAGAGAGAGAGAGAGAGAGGCAGAGACACAGGCAGAGGGAGAAGCAGGCTCCATTCCATGCAGGGAGCCCGACACGGGACTCGAGCCCGACACGGGACTCGATCCCGGGTCTCCAGGATCACACCCTGGGCTGAAGGCGGTGCTAAACTGCTGAGCCACCGGGCTGCCCTGACCTTTTAGATATAATACTGAAACATAATTCATGAAAGTTAAAATTGATAAGATGTGAGCCTTCTTCTCTGTGAAAGACACTCTTTGCAAAGAGAATGAAACAAGCTATAGACCAAGACAAAATATATGTAAAATGCACATCTGATAAATGTCTGGTACCCAAAGTATATACAGAAAACTCTTTGAACTCAACAATAAGAAAATAAATAGATTGATGAAGAAATTAGCAAAACATATGAACAGACATTTCCACCAAAGAGATATACTGATGGCTAATACTGATGGCTAAGATATACTGATAGCTATGAAAAGATGGTCAACATCACATATCATTAGGATATTGCATATTAAAACAATTAAATACTGTTGCACACTTACTAGAATGACCAAAATCCAGAACACCAACAATATCAAGTGCTGGTGAGGATAGGCAGTAAGTAGCAGGACCTCTCATTCATTGCTGATGAGAATGCAAAATAGTACACCCACTTTGGAATACAGTTTATCAGGTTTTTTTTCCCCAAAAAACTATGTATTCTTATCATATGATTTGGTAACTGTATTCCTTGGTATTTACCCAGAGGAGTTGAAAACCTCTGTCCACACAAAAACCTGCATACAAATATTTATAGCATCTTTATTCATAATTGCCAAATCAAGATGTCCTTCAATAGGTGAATGGATAGATGAACTGTGATTTATCTGTATGAAGGAGTGTTATTCAGTGCTGTCAAGAAAGGGGCTATCAAGCCTTGAAAAGACAAGGAGGAATCTTAAAGGTATACTACGAAGTGAAAGAAGATAATCTGAAAAGGCTGAATACTGTGTGATAACTTTAAGAGTTTCTAGAAAGGGGGCAGCCTGAGTGGCTCAGTGGTTTAGCCCCTGCCTTTGGCCCAGGGCGTGATCCTGGAGACCCAGGATCAAGTCCTATGTTGGGCTCCCTGCATGGAGCCTGCTTCTCCCTCTGCCTGTGTCTCTGCCTCTCTCTGTGTGTGTGTCTCTCATAAATAAATAAAATCTTAAAAAAAAAAAGTTTCTAGAAAGGCAAAACTATGGAGAAAGTAAAAAGATGGGTGGTAGGTTGCCAGGGACATGAGGGGAGAAAGATATGAACAGATGTAGCACAAAAGATTTTTAGGGCAATGAAACTATTGTGTAGGACACTGTATGTATGGGTACATGTTATTAGACCTTTGTCAAAACCCTAGCATGTACAATACGAAGTGTGAACCATAATGTAGACTATGGGCTTTGCTTGATAATGATATGTCCCTTGTGGTTCATCAATCATAATAAATATACCATGTATATATAACAAATATACAAATGGTGAGTGAGGTTGCTATGGGAAAGGGAATCTATAAGAACTTTCTGTACTTTATTTTTATTTTTAGCTTTTTAAAGATTTTATTTATTTGTTTATTTATTTTTAAATATTTATTTATTCATGAGAGACACAGAAAAAGAAAGGCAGAGACACAGGCAGAGGGAGAAGCAGGCTCCATGCAGGGAGCCTGTTTTGGGACTCGATCCTGGGATTCTGGGATTATGCCCTGAGCCAAAGGCAAAGGCTCAGCTGCTGAGCCACCCAGACGACCCTATTTATTTACTTTTGAGAGAGGGAGAGAGTGCTCGCACAAGTGAGGTGAGAGACAGAGGGAGAAACAAACTCCCCCTGAGCAGAGAGTCTGGTACGGAACTTAACCAGGATCCTGGGATCATGATCTGAGCAGAAGACAGAGGCTTAACCAACTGAACCACCTAGGTGCCCAATTTTCTGTACTTCCCATTCAAATTTGCTGTGAACCTAAAACTGATATAAAAAAGTCAATTTTTAAAAAACTAGAATGTACAACACAAAGAATGAAACCTAACAAACAGTAGACTTTAATTAATAATGATGATGATGATGTCAGTATTGGTTCATCTGGTGATGCAAATGTACCTCACTAATGCAAGATGTTAATAATAGGGGAAACTATTTCTGAGTAAGGGGGTAGATGAGAACTCTCTGTATTTTTTGTAATATTTTTCTGTAAACTGAAAACTACTTTGTGTTCACTTTGGCAGCATATATACTAAAATTGGAATGAAAACTGCTTTAAAAATAATACCAATTAATTAAAAAATACAAATGTTTTCAGTAAAAAAAAAAAAAGAGACAAAAATACTTTTTTAAAGAGAAAAGATATATGTGCCCATGCATATAACTGCTAAGTACTGGAATGCAGTTCCTGTCTACTGGATTCCAAAGACTTCTTTCTTTTTCCTGTGATATCCCTTAGATCCAAATCCAGTGGAGGTAATCTTAATAGTGAAGGCTAATAAAGATTAATGTCTTTGAACATTGTAGATATAAGAGCAGCATGCATGAGTGATGATATAGGTTGATGATTACTTCATTCTCCTTTCTAGACTATTCTCTGTTGCCTACCTGAACTCTCTAGGATGTAAATGAACCTAGAAATGATTTCCCAAATCTCTTGCTGGTAGCATGGTCCATGTGTCACAGTTCGGGCCAGTACAACATAAGCACACATGTGGGAGTTTCTGGCAAAGCCTTAGCTTTTCTGATCCAGACACTAAGCCTTCTTCTGTTCCTTTCTTTCCTTGCCTAGTGTGCACACTGACCCCCTGAGGTGCAGCAGCCATCTTGGGACCATGAGGTGAGCAGCTTAAGGAGGAAGACTTGTATGCTAGGCACAGCTAACTAGAGAGGTATAAGCAACTTGCTGGCATCATTCAGATGCTAAACAGGGTTGAATATTTACTCCACAGGCTTCTTTGAAGCCTCTGGTGTAGGGTTTTATTGCTTACAGAGAACACAATCCTAATTAACACACATATACGAAGTAAATTTTTTATATATTTAAATATTTTATTTGAGAGAGAGAGAGTGAGCATGGAGGGGGAGCAGAGGGAGAGGGAGAAACAGGCTCTCCACTGAGCAGGGAGCCTGATGGGAGGCTCAGTCCCAGACTCCAGGATCATGAACTGAGCTGAAGGCATTCACTTAACCAACTGAGCCATCCGGGTACCCCTGAGTAAATTTTTTATATGAGAAATAAATTAGGCATACAATCATTAGTTTCTCATCAGAGTTTTAGGAAGACTTTGGTAACATAAGAATTAGATATCTTAACGATGTTAACTGATTATTTGAATGTGTGTAGTAGATGGTTAACCATAGATTGTCTTTGTACTACTTAAAATGTGGTCATATCATCAGAAGCAGTTTATGCAGATTCTGGGACTGGAATCTTTCCTCCAGGGTTGTTTTTGGAGATACATATGAGGAATATGGGCCAGGGTAGGGTCTGGGGAAATGCCCTCTGTGTCTGGGAATGTCTTTTAATTCTGTTGGGGCGTTAAATTTTCTAAGTACTGCCCTTGTTCTTCTTTGTTGGACTTTCCATTTCAGATAGCTTTCTTCCTGGCTTTGTTCAAGATGGCTTATGGCCTCCCAGGTTCTGCAGTCATTTATGAAGTTCTATAAGGTGGCCTTTGTTAGGACTTAATAAACCTTTGTTAGAGGCCTCATTATGATTAACCTTTATGGAGGTTTGAAATTTGGGAGAATTTTTATACAGATATTTGATAGAAATTAACTTGCTATAAATGCTGCCTACAAACATGTGTAAATAAGTCAAAGGAACTGGCTAAATACTAAGGTATTTGTTTATTTACTATTCTAGCAAGTTTTCATATTATTTCACAGTTATTTTGATACAGAAATGGTTTGTAAATTCTCAAATAGTGAACATAAAATGAACACTGATTCCTTGCTAAACCAGTTCTTCTATAATATATGACATTAAGTTATTTTCTTCTATATCTCTTCATTTTTCTTCTTAAAAAATAATTTACTTTTAGTGTCTTAGGTAGTAGAATTAGGAGAAAAACCCTAATTTGAAAAATTACTTGAGTTTATGTGGCTCCAACTAAATTAAATGGATTTAGTGTCTCGTCTGATTGTTTGCAATTAATAGTTCAGTAAGACACAAAAAATGTTTAAAATCTATTAGAAAAGTCCCAAGTTTTGTGACTCTATATGTGATCTGAGTTAATATCAATAAAAATATTTTGGTCCATTTTGTATACCTGATGTTAGACATTGTAAGTTATTTTTTTTACTTTTATTTCTTACTATTAAAAATAAATGCATTTAATATTAAGTAGTGAAATAACATTTGGGCATTAGGTCTGGAGGAAAAACAGTGGGTGACATGATAATTTATCAAATACAAATTTTTAAAATAGGCTTATCCTTTCCTGCTAATACAAAGCAAAATTCTTTACTAAACTATTCAATTTTTTGAGTTATTATGTGTGGTTGAAATGATAAAGATTATGTCATTTTAAGTTAATAGCATTAAGAAAGCAATAACAATTATACAATTAGTAAAGAAGGCAAAATACTTTTGGAATAAAAATTTTTATTAGCAGAAACTATAATAATGCAAGGAATATTTTGTTACACACCAAATGAAAAACACCAACTGATGATTTCTCCAATTTTAATAATCAGTGGGGTGATAGAGCCATCAGTGAAATATGTCATTAAGAATGCCTGTGAATAGTAGATGAATTACACAATACTTTCATCTCAGCATCGGCTAGCAAGCTCTCTTCTGGTACAACCTACATTACAACATTTATCACTCATTTTTATGTAGTTATCTCTCTTTTTTCGGGGATGTTTATCTAATTTTGAAAGGCTTTTGTCTTCAGCTTCATATTGTGTGTTAAGAAAAGTTTTCTTCATTTCTTCCAAGTTAAGATTTGAATCTTCAAGTGCAAAGTGTAGCTCTCTTAATAACTTCTCCTTCCCAGACCGTGTTGCTATCCTCAGTTCCTGTGGCATACCGGGAATGGATTGCAACATCAAACTTAAGATTTCTGGATCATTGATGATGGAGGATGGCACAACTTCTAAATTTAAGAAAGTGGGGGGAGAGAAACACTCAAGTCAAGGAAAACAATACAATTTTGCATAGACATAGGAAAGGACTATCATAGAATTTTTTTTCTATTTTAAGAGAATTAAACATCAAAACAGAATCAACAAAGTATCCTGATTAAACAACTTACTGTATTATAGTTGGGTGGCATAAATTACTACATCATCACCAAGATTCTGCTTTATTCCATAGATCTTGTGTTGTTTTTCTTCATGTCCCCTTAATGCTTTCATCACAGCAGTTTTGACTCACCCTGATTTCCAGTCATTTTGGTCATTGAAAACACTCAATTTGACAACAGATTAATTTTTCTTACCTGGGTAATTTTCTCCTGTTACTAATTTCTGAGTTATATTAGTAATCCTTATCAAATATTTCATGATGGAAAATTACTGCTTCAGGATAAAGTTAAAAAGGCAGAATTTTCAACTGTTGTGATCTAAGTCAGGAAATAGCAGTTTCTGATGTTCCTCACACATCTAGTTAACAGTTTCTTTTCCCCAGAGTATTTACTCCAACTAAAACAATACTCTAGTACTTTATCTTTCCTCCTAATGCTCTTTCTCATTCAATTTCTAAATTGACAGATGAGAATTTATACCCCAGAGATACAGGGTATAAAGTAATTAATTAATTAATTAATTAATTTAGGCCCCAGAAATCTAAGTTTAACTCAACCTCCTCATAAAACTCTTTTGCCCTAATTTAAACCTTCTCTAGTTGGGACCTTATTGAATGCAGAGAAAAACTAATAGTAACTTTCCATGTAATTAAAGCCAGTTAGTTGGATTAGGCAAAACAATTGTAATTTCTATTGTGTTTATCCATAGGCTGTGTTTTTTTGGCATTCGTTTTATTTTTATTTTTTATTTTTTTTTGGCATTCCTTTTAATCTGTGGATGGACATATAATGTATTTTGATATCTTGGTTATTGTGAATAGTGCTGCAGTGAATGTGGGAATGGCAATATCTCTTCAAGATCCTGATTTCATTTATTTTAGATGAATATGCAGAAGGAAGATTTCTGAATCATACGGCAATTCTTTTTTTCTTATTTTTTGAGGAATCTCCATAGTGTTTCCTATAGTGTTGTATCATTTTGCTTTTTTTCTCACTAACAGTGTAGAAAGTTTCTAGTTTTTCCACATCCTGAAAAATACTTTTTTTTTTTTTTAAGTGGGGAGGAGGGTCAGAGGGAGAGAGAGAATCTCAAGCAGACTCCTCACTGAGCACAGAGCAGAGCTCAATCTCACAACCCTGAGATCTTGATCTGAGTTGTAGGGGCTCCTTATATATGTTGGAAATTAAATTCTTATCAGATATATGATTTGCAAATGTTTTTTTCCTATTCCATAGGCTGCCTTTTCATTCTGATTATTTCCTTTGCTCTGAAGAAACTTTCCAGTTTGAGGTAGCTCCACGTGTCTACTTTTGCTTTTGTTGCCTGTGTTGCTCTCTTTTATTAAAAGTATTTTTTAACCTTATTTTGAAACATTTTGCAATCAACAACTTCACCTTCTTAAGTCTAAATAATAGATAATATTCTAATCGACCTGAATTTATACAAACATCTCTTAATCACTATATTGTGAACTAAAATTTCACTACCACAGGCCTCTTTTAGTTAAAAGTATCTTATTTTTTAAAATGGGTGCAATGAATGTTATTTCTGCAAACATTGTAGGAAAAAATGGTTAGTTACCAATTTAATAATATGAAAACAAAAACTAATAATAGAAGTTTTAAACTCATGAATCACAAATTATTGACATATACTTCCAAGAGAGCCTTTCTTTTTTTTTTTTTTTTTTTTTTACTTCCAAAAGATTCTTAACTAGTAATTTAAATATTTTTCTTGATCATCATTTGCAGGCTATATTATGTTAGGCTGTTTTCAATTAAATTGTGTACTGGCTAGCAATAAAGAGAGTTCTTTGGAAATACTTTAAAATCACAGTACTCTCCTATAGAAATAGAAATCTGGCAAAATAGCTATATATAATTGTGCTCAGAAAATCATTTTTAAGCAATAGTTTAGAAACAACCTAAATATCCACTAAGAATGGTTATATATATATGGTAGATTAATGACATAGAATATTACAAAGAAATTTTAAACTATGTTTTTAGAGAATAACAATGTGAGAAACTGCTTACAATATAATGTTAAGTGAAAATCAGGAGATTTACATATATATCTCCAGATTTTTTTATGATATTGTTTTTAAGTAATCTCTGTAACCACAATGAGGCTCAAACATACAACCCTGAGATCAAGAGTCACATGCTCTACCCACTGAGCCAGGCAAGTACTCCTACATATCTCATTAACATTGCTTTCCAGTTCCTCATTTAATACAGATATTTCTAGTTTCTCATTAAATTCACGTATTTTTTCAAAGTCTTTAATATCTGTATGTTTTTCATTTTTCTTATTGTATTTATGTATATGCTTCAGTCTTTAGTATGAGCATATTATTTATTCAGAAAAAGTGAATTAACAAGGACATAAAATGAATTCTGGCCGTTCCTACTTTGAATCAGTAAATTCCTAAACTTTGTAGTACTCTTTTAATAATGTATAAGAATTCTGTAAAACCTTGCATTAAGTAAATCAGTCTCTGACCAATAATGTAGAAAAGTAAATAGCTTTATAATTCTGCTTTAAATCCCATAAAGAGAAGTAAGTGTGGTTAGTGTGCGCCATGATTTTACATGAGAGTCACTCATCTACAGGATAGATAGCCTATAAAATATGATTGTGATTTATCATAAATTGCATATATGTTGTGAAATGTGAAACACTAAGTTACTCATAATTGAGCTTACCTTTTCTGAATTTCATGACCCCACTACCCTGATTAGAATAGTCTGTGAAAGTTTGAATTGCTACTTAAACTTAGCTTCCAATTTATCTTTATAAATAGTTTATTCCTAATGAAGTGTTTTTTGTTTTTAAACTATTCCAGAGTTAAAAAAAAAACAAAAAACTATTCCAGAGTTGAGTTGTACTCAATTCTAGGGTCTTGCTTATTGAGAAAACCCACTGCAGCTTCTAAATGTTTGATGCATCAATGTGGTTTTCAGCTGTTTGGAGGTCAAATATCCCTTGACTTTAGGTCCCCTTCAGTTTCTCCTGTGGGAGACCAGGCCATTTTCTTTCTCTCCAATCCCTTCTCTCACAAATGAACTTCAAGGTCCAGGGCAAAAAGGATGGGAGGCTAGGCTCTCCCCTTTGGTGAAGTTTACAAATAAAAATAAAAGGATATTTTGGAGGGTGTGAGCCACAGCCCAGCTTTTTTGCAAGGGAGTAGAGCCCTTAGTAAGACAGTTGGTATTTACCACTCCAGGACCCTCTCAGTGGTCTCTGAGTTCTGCCCCCATGCCCTGGGACACTCAAACCAGCACACAATGGACTGTTTGCCTCCAGTGCTCTCAAGTTAAGATGCCCAGTCCAGTTACCCCAGCTGTCAGCACTCCCTCCGCATGGCCCCACAGACTTGACTCTGGGGTCCAGTACAATGGGCCCACCTCTAACGGGTCCTGGCAACCTCTCTTCATCTGTGGCTCCGCCCCTCCGGATCCCCATCATCCCGGTGGCCAGGATGTGAAGGGCACCAGGTGCCTCTCAGGAGAAGCCTTTGTTGTTCCCACTGCTTTCCCTCCCTCTCCTGAGATCCCCGGTGAGACTCCCGGGGGGGGGGGGGGGGGGATGCAAACTTGGAGGCATCAGCAGCCTCAGAGGCAGGGCTGTGCTCGGGAAGCCCGAGCCAGGGTTCTGGAGCGGGCAGAGCAGGTGCGGTTCTCAGTGGTCGGCGGCAGCCGGCCGACAACCAATGGGAAGTGCGGAACGGAGCGGGGCGGAGCGCTCACCTGCCAGGGGTTCGGATATCTGCCGACGTTCCCGCTGCTGGCCAGCCTTTCTCCCCCACCAGCTGGAGCCGCAGACCTCAATCTGTAGGCGGACATAATCGCGACCACATGCCTTAAGTATCTTGTCACCCGTGGCTGGGATCTCTCTGGAAAGTTGGCTTAGTAGCAGCCAGACACCTAGCAGGTGGGACAAGAACCGGCGCAGCATCTTGGACAGATCGCTTCTGCTCCGGACGTTTGTTTTTCTCCAGAGACTGCAGCCTCTGCCTGTGTTCCAATCCTGGACTTCAGGCTGCTGTCCTGGCCAGGTTTCACCAAGCTTTTATAGCCCCTGGGTGACCACTTAGACCTGAGTTTATGGCCCAGGCTCCACCCCTCTCCCCACCCCTACCTCCCCTTTCCTCCCCACCTTTCACTGTTTACAACTTTCCTCCCTTTGCCCATCTTTCTGTTCTTGGACCTTTTACAGTTGTATAGATGTTTTTTTCTACTTCTAAACTATTTTGTATACTTACGTAAGGTTAGTCAATATGTGAAGTTTTCCTTTATTATAAAGTTAGGAATGGCCCTTACACTAAATTATATCAAGAAAAATGAAATTGAAATCATCCATATTCTCATAATTCAGGGTTTTCCAGTGTGAACATTTGTTGCATAACCTAATCTAAATAAGTTAATTACTCTAGCGCCTGGTATATCAATCCATAAATATATAATGAATGAATGGATTGATTAACAAAAGAGCGAGAACTGATGACTTTTATCTAAATCTTGGTAAAAACAGTAAAATGCTTAATGCATCACTTTAAATTTGTACAACATCTTAAGTTTCAGTGCACTTTCTCTACTGACTTTTCTTTGACTCTTCTGGGAGATTGATTATAACCAGTTACTTGAGTATTTAATTTTAGGTTGTATAGTTCCTATATCTCTAGGGACTGGAGAACACAGGTGCACACACACGCAGAAACACCCTTCCCCCTCCCAAAAAGATCCCCCCACAATTCTAGAAAGAATATTTTGGTAATACAGGCTACAGCATAAAAATCATGGTTTTTTTTTACTGTATTCTGTATTCCCTGTATTTAGTGAGGTAATTTTTGACAGCTCTTAATTTAACAGTTTGAAATAACTGTTCTATGCTCATTAGAACTATATGCTCATGAAATAACTATGCTCATTAACAATCTTTCAAGATGAACATTAATTTTTATGTGTAAATAGGTTCATTTTTTTCAGTAATTTATTTCCTTGTGTTCATAATGTACTCAGATTACCTCAGTTCCACCAGGGCATTTAGGGACTTGGAGGACATTAGGGTAGCTTTGATTAAAGTAACAACAATCACTTACAAATTCAACTATGGGATAGAATAAATTCTGATTTCTAGATTGCTGCTAATTTCTATAGGACCCACTTGGCATTGGTCAAATACTAAGCATTGTGTAATTAAAACAACAACAAGAACAAAACCCTGACCAAAGCTATGAGTCAGAGGTAGTGCTTTTACATAGATTTTTGCTAAGACAAGCAGTTTGGGAAAGGCTTCTCAAAACTGAGGTTTGAAGGTTTTTTTTGTGGGTTCATAGTCATTGCAAAAAATGCATTTGCAAGGCTGCCCTCCAAAATAATTGCTCGTATAAAATGTAAATTTCTAGGGTGGGGGGGCAGTGGGTGGTGTGCACTAAAACTGCAGTGGGTGAGTAACATCAGCCTCCTGTGACCATCTCAAATGACCTCAAGGAGAAATCAAATACAGGAAGAACCAGAACACCAGTTAAGCCGAGGCATGCAACAAAATTTTTAAACAATCAGATATGATAGAAACATGTATTAAGATGACCTAAGAGTCTTTCACATGTCTATGTGGAAATCAGAAAATCTTAATTGTTACAACCATAACAAATTATACCTTGTGACTTGTCTTTGTCCTTGTGACTTGGAGAACTGCTTGCAAGCACACATACCCTTTTTTTTTTCTTTTACATACCTGTATCTAATAAGCTTCAGGGCAATTCTGCAGAGCAGATACAAGACTGTATCCTTGGCTATCCTCCTCGTAAAAAAACAGCAGATAAAAGCATTTACTAGCCTACTTTGAGGTTGGTTTTCCTTCAGTTGATGGGAGATTTTTACTTTACCTGTTGCTGTCCAGTGAAATGGCCATTCTCCCATTTTACAGAGAGAAGAAGCAAGTTGAGAGTCGTCGAGTAACTTGTACAACTTTTTCTAGCACTTGTGCCAGATGTGGGCTTGCTCTACTGTTAAGAATAACAAAGGATTCACAGCTTTGTAAGCACAACTAAAAGGCATTTCATGTTGTTAAAACAAACAACAACAAAAAATTAAACAAACGGGATCCCTGGGTGGCGCAGCGGTTTAGCTCCTGCCTTTGGCCCAGGGCGCGATTCTGGAGACCCGGGATCGAATCCCACATCGGGCTCCCGGTGCATGGAGCCTGCTTCTCCCTCTGCCTATGTCTCTGCCTCTCTCTCTCTCTCTCTCTCTGTGTGTGTGTGACTATCATAAATAAATTAAAAAAAAAATTTTTAAAAAAATTAAACAAACAACAAAACCCAAAGAAACTTTTTATTTATTTTTTTAAAGATTTTATTCATGAGAGAGAGAGAAAGAGGAAGAGAGAGAGAGGCAGAGGGAGAAGCAGGCTCCATGCAGGGAGCCCGATACGGGACTCGATCCCAGAACCCTGGGATCACTCCCTGGGCTGAAGGCAGATGCTCAACCGCTGAGCCACTCAAGCATCCCTCAAAGAAACCTTTTAAAAGAGAAAAACCAAATGTATGCCATAACACATGTCTGATAAGTGCTGGAGCATGTCTACTGGATTCCAAATCTCCTTTTCTGGTTCTACTATATCCAGCCCCAATTGGAATTAATTTTCATGGTGAAAGTTAATAGTAGATAAACCTTAGTGCTTTTAAAACAGTTATTGTAGGTACAAAGCGGTAAGTCAAACTATAGATCGATTCTCTAGACCTTAAGTTATAGAAATGATTTCCCAAGTCTCTTGCTGGTAGCAGGGTCCATGTGTCATGGTTCGGGCCAGTAAAACATAAGCACACATGTGGAAGTTTCTGGCAAAGCCTTGGCTTTTCTGATCCAGACACTAAGCCTTCTTCTGTTCCTTTCTTTCCTTAACCTAAAAGTACACACTGACCCCCTGAGGTGCAGCAGCCATCTTGGGACCATGAGGTGAGCAGCATAAAGAGGAAGACTTGTATGCTAAGCACAACTGACTGGGTATAAGTAGCCTGCTGTATCATTCAGCTGCTAAACATTGTTGAGGGCTTATTCCCTAAGCTTGTTTAAAGCCACTGTTACGGGGGTTTTTTGTTATTTACAGAGAACGCAATCCTGATTGATGAATGTATGTGTAGGTGGAGTAGTTTTAATATAAGAAACAAATTAAGCTTCCATTTATTAGTTTCTCATGAAGGTTTTAGTCATAATTTAGTAACACTTGAGTTAGATATTTTAAAGATTGAAGTAATCATTTGAATGTTTTTACAAGATAGTTTACCACAGGGGATCCCTGGGTGGCTCAGCGGTTTGGCACCTGCCTTTGGCTCAGGGCGCGATCCTGGAGTCCCGGGATCGAGTCCCGCGTCAGGCTCCTGGTGCATGGAGCCTGCTTCTCCCTCCTCCTGTGTCTCTGCCTCTCTTTCTCTCTCTCTCTCTCTATCAGAAGTAAATAAATAAATCTTTTTAAAAAAAAGATAGTTTACCACAGATTATCTTTGGACCTCTTAAAAACCAGTCATATAAGAAGCAATGAATGTAGATTCTGGGATCAGGAGACCTACCTTCAGGGATTTTGTGGAAGAGGTGGTGAGGGACTTGGGCCAGGACAGGTTCCATGGACTTGCTTTTTGTGTCGGTGATGGATCTTTGTCCTATCTGGGCTGTAAATTTCCTGGGTAGTGCCTTTGTTCTTCTGGGTTGGATCTCCATCTCTTAGAGCTTTGTCCAAGGTGGCAGACAACCTCTGAGGTTCTACAGCCCTGTATTGAATTCTCCTACCTGCACCACCTTCTAGCCTCCACTCCATCCAGTTGGGGTCAGCCTGTGGTTCTGAGAGAAACTCACTTTTTTTTAAAAACATGAGACTCTGCTCTTTCATATTTCACTATAAATCTCTTTCTAGCAGGTTTACTTCATTTTGCAAATTCTCATTGTTTTCTCTGATATGTTGATAGCAAACAGTCCCATCCGGTTCCCACAATAATCAATGCTGCATCAGACCTATTTTTGTTTGTATATTTCTTCCATGATTTCATTGGGATCTGCAGAAAGAGGCGAGGTAAACCCTTGCATTTTTTTGGAGCATAGTGATAAGAAGTCAGTGCTGACTACATATCTCATAGGCATCTTTGGAACTACTCTAGATGTTTGTGCTTTCACTTCAGGTTATCATGCTGTTTTATCAAGAAGACAGAAAAATGAAGGGAAATTAGGATCTTCAGAAAGTTCTTTTATCAGCAAACCTTTGGGAAATCTCTTGGCTAAGAGATTAGAAAAGATAAATAACCTCAATATTTTCTTATTTCTACTCAAATAACAATATGTGTGCTAAGGGAATATTCAGAAGGAATTATAGCACTGAATGGATACTTCTTGTGAACAGGGATCTTAGTTTTTGTTCACTGATGCTATATGCTTGTCATGTAGTGGGCACTCAATAATAGGTCCCCAAATATGCTAGTTTTATTGCTCACCATAAATGTTGATATATTGGGTCAAAAGGCCTAACATGACATGCTGCCTTGACATCTGTTGAAACAGGGTTCTCCACCCTACTTGCCCCACAGTGGAGTCTTAGTCTCCTAGCCAAACAACTCTACTCCAGAGTACCATGCACAGTTCTTGCTCATCACTCAGTAGTGGGTTTCATTTACCTGACAGTTCATGGAATTATTCAAAAAAGCCAATCGCATTCTCTTGTAGTAACCAGGGGTTACCTCACCCTCTTACTACTACTGAGGCTTGTTCGCTCTGAGTACAGCTCCCATTTAGCCTTGAGTGGCAAGCAGTGTCCTTCTACCCTGAGCTGTGAGTATATGTGACTAATAAACTCCTGCCAATCTCATATGTCCAGTATTGGGTGTCAAATATTGTATGTGCCTTCCCTATAACCTTGGGACGGAATTTCCTCCCTACCAAAGGGGTGAATCGGAGGCAATTAAAACATTTGGATCATGAACAAGGAAGGCCATTCATAATCAAGGACACCTGGTCAGCTTTAACTAACTCCTCTTGAGTAACTAAATGGTTCCATGATATGGCAAAATCCCTCTGAA